ACAGTAAGAGACTATCCCTACCCCAAACAGCTTACAATTGGGATAGACAAGACAGACAAAGGGTGGGAGAAAAGAAGTATCATCATCCCCCTTTTTACAGCTGGAGAACTGAGGCACAGAGAGATTACATGACTTGCTCAAGGTCACCCAGGAAATCTGTAGCAGTTAGGATTTGAATCCACATTACCTGAATCCCAGTCCAGGGCCATGACCATCCTTCCTCTACACTGATGACAGCAGTAACACACATGTCAAGTGGGCTGGAAGAAGGAAGACATTACAACAACTTAGACTCTTTCAGACTTTAGCTCAGCTAGCATCCCCACCTGGCCTTTAGTCTGTACAGTAGGTCCCCCATAGAAGTACAAAACAAGGCCTCCCTCAGAGGGCGCAGTATGTGCTCCCATGCACCCGAAGCCAGTTGAGCTGGTCAATGTGGAGTGGTCAGGACTATGGCTGCAACTGATTCATTCTCACCCTTTCCTTAGGTTTGGTTGCTCCCACTGATGCACTAGGAGGGAGAAGTCCCTGGGCTGAGCTGGTCACAGCTAATTTAGTGTCAGTTAAAGTGGCTTTTGTAGCAAGTTGCAGTCATGGCACTGGACATTTCTGGTTTGTTCTGCATTAGCTGCTGTGTGAGCAGACGATGCTAAAAGTCAGACAGACATTTACACAGGATCCAAGGATCCAACTACTTACCCCAAAGGATAAAAAAAAAGATAAAGAACATCATTTGTTCAGCATTGTAGTGAGGTGGAGTGGCCTCCCACTGAGCCAGAGGAGTAGGAACCACTCTCTGATCTTGGTGGGTGGAGCCAGGCTGGGCTTGTTCCTCCCGTTGGAAGCTAAGAGGCGGGACAGGAAGTATAAAAGTGGAGCCTTTAATTCAGTTGACTCTAAGCCAGCAAAGGGAGCAGATGTCTCCAGGCCCCTGCAGATCCCCGGAGCAGAACCTGTGCTGCGCCACGCCCTGCTCCTGGAAGAGAGTGATCCAGGAGAAGAGCTGCCAGGACTGCCATTCACCTGTACCCCAAAGAGACAGACAATGACTCCGAGCCACGGATACCTTACAGTGGGAGAGTAGGAAGTAGCCCAGGGACAGCCAATATAGTCCGGTTGTGTTGCTGCTTCAACATCGGTCAATGTGTTTTGGGCAGATCCCCAGTGACACAGTGGCGGAACGCTCCCCCACTGTTTGGGCCCTGGGCTGGGACCCAGTGGAATAGGGTGGGCTCAGGTCCCCCTACCCCGGCTGCCAGCCCCATCCCTGGGGTGGCAGCCTCACCACATAAGACCAAAATGCCTGCATTTGACTGCCGTCTACCTGAGCCAAGACGCCTTACAAATGGCTGTCTTCAGGGTCAGAGACACCCCCTTTCCCCCGAGCCCCAAGACTGTTTGTTCTGCCCTGCCTGAGGGACAAAGCCCTAACACTGTTTGTGGTTCCACCCTGCCGGAGGGCCTGAGCCCCAAGACTGTTTGTGGCTCCGCCCTGCACAAGGGACTGGGCCCATAGACTTTGTTCTGCTCTGCCCAAGGGATGGGACCCGACTATTTGGTTAATCTGCCCTGCCTGAGGTCCAGAGCCCCGAGACTGTTTGTTTGCTATGCTCTATCCTGCTAGAGGGGTCTCGGCCCCACCTCTTGAATCGCTAATCATCTGGAACTGGGCGGTGCCCCAGTGATATAGTGTGATGGAGTGGCTTCCCACTGAACCAATGGGAGAGGAATGACTACAAAACCACTGCAAGCATGAAGAAAACACCCAGCTGTTTAGGCTTAATAGAACTGCACATGAAGTGGGGGGTTGTTTTGGTTTACCTCACAGGCAACCCAAGCCACAGATAAAAAAGCAGCCAGAGATTCACCTAACTCGGTGTCCTGGAGCCATACACCCTCCTAGACCCACATTGAACACTTTCCAGGAGTTGCTAATGTCTTAGGAGCCACACATTCACCTGGGACCACCAATGCAGTGACTGACAGACTGACTCAAAAAGGAGCTACAGCCACTAGTAAGTGCTCAGTTCTCTCCTATCCTCTCCCTGGCATGAGGGATAAGATTTTGCTGTTTAATTTCCACATGCTGCTGCAGTGGAGATGAGTCTTTGTGACACACCACGTCTCCTGGCGAGCAGTAAGTTCAGTTTTTAACTCATCCTTTTGTAATGACTTTTTACTGTTTACTTTAAAATATTTACTGTTAAAAGTAATTGCTGGGGTGCCCAAGGCTGCTGCAGTCAGCCCAGCCAAGCTACCCCTGTGCAGCCCAAAAGGATTTACAGTAACATTTTTGAAATTGATACTGAGAGCGAACAAGACAATCACTAACTAAATGACACCACTGTTACCCCCGGTGTAAATTGCTTTCAGTGAGGTTACTATGAATCATCACCAGTGTGACTGAGGTTAGGACTTGGCCCTCCGAAAGTAATTTTGTCAGTTACATCTCACCTGGGAGATTCCCACTTGCTTAGAAGATTTTGAATGAGCATAATGTGGCAGATGGAGATCACATTGTTTAATTTTGGCTCCGAAAATGACAAATGGTAGTTGAAAAGGGTCAGTTCACAGGTTTTCCCCCCTTCAAACTGCATCATTGCAGAAAAGCAACCAAAAGGGGATCAAATTGATTATGATGAATTATTTTGCTCTGATTGTCTTAACAGCCATCCTAGCCTGCTGCTTGTCACCTCTCAGGTTCGGGGTTTGCTTTAAGAGAATGAGTCAGTATCTTCTTCAACATCTAAAGTGTCTCTAAATATTTGAAATGAAGCTACGGTAAATAATAATAATAAAAAAGTCAACATGAGAGCAATGTTGCAGCTAACATGTTACACAAGGTTTTTACTTCTTAATTAGGCCAGCATAAATCCAGATAACTCCACCAGCTTCATTGGAATTATCTAGATTTACAGTGATCATCTCAGAACAGAGTTTGTTCCATTAGTTTACTATTTTTATCTGACATGCTCTGTTAATATTTATGCCTTAGCATTTAGGTGTAGTCTGACTGCCTTATGACTTCTTTGGAGATGAGGATTTTCAATCTGCCTGGTTTTAATAGTGTAAAATTCCCACCCGCATTGTGGCATTAGTATAGTTTAGGTATTTATTTTCCTTGCTTGTTTTTTTTTAAAAAGAGGAAAACTGAATGTACGATGTGAGCCTTACCTACGTGTGGGATCACAAATTCAACTAAATGCACCACAGCATATATTTAGGCATAAAAAGAAAGCTATTGAATGTATTTTAATGCATAGAATTTCAGGGAACTGCATAAATCTGCATTCCTTTCTTCTATATGTTGTTTAAAAATTTACAGAGCACGTATGTTTTCATTACCTTAAATGTTGTTGTTTTTTAAATCTTTTTTTTAACCTTATCTTGTCAAAGCTCATGTCCTGTGTTGAGAAGGATATAAATGAAAAGAGCCCATTTTTAAAATTAAAATTTCTGGAAATTTCCACTACATGCATCTGAAGAAGTGGGTATTCACTCACAAAAGCTTATGCTCCAATATGTCTGTTAGTCTATAAGGTGCCACAGGACTCTTTGCCATTTTTAAAACCTTACCCATAAAGTAACAGATCCTCACATAAATAGCACCATGATGACAAAAGGTGGTCGGCCCAGTTCCAAAGTTAGTACTTTTAGAACAAAATCATTTTGAGTTGGGTGAACAAAAAGGATCCAAATAACGCATGAAAGAAGTGTTGTTTTTTGACCTTGGCTAATGAGAAAAACACTGAGTAGATTTTCTTCAGATTTTCCCTTTTGGGCTGAGTACAAGCATAAGTGATTTTAGACCAAAGGATAATGGTAATATATATAAGAGAAAGAGATTGTCGTCTCAATTAATACAGTGCACGGACTGCATGATGGATTACCACCTACCACTAATAAGATCAAGAGAGGTTTTATTAGTCAGCACACATGAGAAACATGTTTTTTTTCTTTATTTTCATGGGAAACTAGCACTTGAACGTTGGTCAAAGCCCCTTGGAAAAACCTCTATTTAATGTAACTCTGCTGTTGTGGTCTTCAGTTTTACGTGTCAGCTCCAGCTACACAATGAAACTTATTTGTAGTGTGACCTATTTTCAAAGATGCAGGAACAAGTGACACTCTGAACATCCTGAGTGATTTTCACTGAACTCCAGACATTTAGTTGTACAGATCCAGTGAGTGTATGGTCACTGTATGAGTTGTATTTAAGGGGAAAACTCTAGGTCTTCTCAGTGTTTGGGATTCCCTCATTGGTGTACAGTTGCACTGGTGCAAACCTCAACTGTAGACAAGGAAAGCCATGATTTGCACTAGCTTAGTTTATTCCTGCTTGAATGTAGGATTGTCAATTGGTGCAAATCACAGGTTGCCTTGGGCCCATTCCTGTCCACCCTTGGGTTTTACATGGTTCCTGGCCAACAATGACTAAAATTGAAATTAATCCCAAGTAGAGATCACGGTCTCTAGAAAAAGACATTTCCCAGAGGGAACGAAAAAGGTTAGATAACCAGTTATTGCAGAAAATGGAGGTGTTTTTAAGCTACAGGCTGTTAGTGAAGACAGGTAGATTTTCTTGTTAGTTGCTACACATAATTTGAGAGATTTTTTTTTTCACTCTTGGGAGCTTTTGGAAAGCCAGTTTCAGTATGAACCCAGTATGAACACATTATTAAAAAAGAAATAGAATTAATGCTAGCCACTAATCGAGTTTAACCCGCACAGAGCACTTGAAAAGCTACAGCCAGTATGCTGTTAAAAGCATTAACATATTTAGAGAGGTTTATTTTTTGAAAACTTTCTGTTATCAAAATGAAGCTGCAAATATAACTCAAAACTTCAGGGTCAAATCCTGCTCATCTTACCCACCCACAGAGTTGGACTTCAAAGGGACAACTCATGTGAGGAAGGAGAGTAGGATCTGGCCTGCAGGCTCATACGAGAAGGCTTTCTGTGAATATTCCTGGGTTTTTACATTCCTGGGTTTTTACACTCATCTCAGTCTGCCTGAAGGTCTGTATTTTATATGTCACTTACCCACCTTATTCCCTCTCAAGCTCATAGTGTTGTTTTCAAGACTGAATAAAGATCTGACTGCAGATGGCATTTACGAGCATGGTGAGTATAAATCTACTACTGCCAAATAATCTCTCTCTCTTCCCCCCTTTCAGTTTGTGACCGAGGCTATGCCATCATTCCCTAAGGCACTGCAACACATTCCCCTGAACATATTCTAGAACTGTGTTGTCCTCTCCAAGCTAGCAATGAACATCTGTTCAGTCATGGATGCTCCCGCCATACCAAATAACACGGCTCATGCAAACTTGTAGTATGGGTCAGCCAAAAGATGCTGGACGTGAATTTGCCTGCTGAGCTGAGGGTATAACTGTACTTTGCTCTCCTGTTGGATCTTCCAGCTGAGGATCTTAAACACCTTTGTAAGCTAAGTATTATTGTCTGTAGTTCATAGCAAGGGAGCCAGATCCTCAGCTGATGTAAATGGGCAACTAAGTTAACTTCCTCCTGCTGTAGTTCTCGCCTAGGGAATGAGAAGCAGAGAACTTCATTGATTTGCCTAAATTCACACGGCAAGAGCATAGATAAGCCAGCTCCCATACCTATCATTTAAGAACAGGATCATGCCTATGCCGAACAGATGGGGAAGCATCAGAAGATTCAGGTGCTCACTCTGGAAATAACCTGTGCTTGCAAGACTTCTAGATGCCCAGATTAGAAATGTTGCCATAAAAGGGCACTATATATATATATATATATAAAAATCAGATATATAATTATGTAGATAATATGTAAGAAAGAGATGGCCTGATTCTGATGACACACCCATTTTACACAGGCCATTCTCCATTGGGCCAGAGTCTGATCTCTGTCACACTGGTGTAAATCTGCAGTAACTCCACTGATGCAACACCAGTCCAAGTCAAGTCAGAAAATGGCTGATTGATTCCAGTGCAGGTATTCTGTATTTACAGAGTTTAAGCAAGAGGAGACAGGCCCAGAGGGTCCTTTTTGGAGTAAAAGTTCTAATACACCAAAAAGGTCACCGGAGTGCCGTGTCTGCCATGAAATTTTAGCCTTGTGCCTGTTTTTCCTAGAATCTGTTGGCTAGGTTCTTTGTTGGTCTCACTTTCCTCTGGGCACAGCAGAGAGAGGGAAGCCACAAGGTTGCCTGTTCTAGGTCCCTGATTATGGGTCTGGTTCTACCCTGGCTCCATCCCTGTCTGATGTAAACTGCACTGGCTGGCTATGGGACCATCTATATTGCCAGACTGCAAGACACATCAGCTATAGTCCTTCCGGGTACCTCCCAACCCTGACACACCAGCTATGCTGCGTGGTGCAGAGTTGTGGGGAGATGGCATACTGGCTTTACATCCATGGGGAGCTGCCTGCCATGGAAGAATCCCCAATAGGTCAGAGTTGTTTTAGGGCTTTCAGGCTGTCACCAACATTCTGAGTTGAAGGAGAAAACATTTCTTGTGGGTGAAAGAGAGATGTCAGAATCTCACTTCCAAGCAATGAGTTATGGAACTATGAAAAAATTCCATCTTCACTGTTTCTTATTTAATTATTTTGTCAGCATGTAATTAACCTGATGTTCCCCTGCAGACCGCCCAGAACTACTCGGCAAACCTGGATTATTATACGGGTTCTAGTTCTGTTTTGCTGCCATATGACAACCCATTTAACCACACAGACGTCATTTGTGAAAAAGGTCACGCCTGGCAGTTTGCTCAAACTTTCCTGCCAGCATTTTTCTGGATTGTCTTCTCCATTGGCACCATGGGTAATGCCTTAGTCATCCTCGTCTACTGGAAATACAGATACAGAAAAAGCATCACTGACAGATATCTGCTGCACCTGGCCATTGCTGATCTGCTCCTCCTTCTCACTCTCCCTTTCTGGGCAAAAGCAGCTTCAGATGGCTGGATCTTTAAGAATTTCATGTGTAAAATTATCAATAGCATGTACAAGATCAACTTCTACAGCTGTATGTTGTTTCTGACATGCATTAGTTTTGACAGGTACATTACAATTGTCCAGGCCATGAAAGCTAAGAACTCTAAGCAAAAAAGGCTTCTGCGCAGTAAACTAGTTTGCTTTGGTATTTGGCTGACTGCAATAAGCTTATGCATCCCAGAAATAATATACAGTGAATCTAAGCAAGTTAGTGATACAACTACTTGCAAGATGGTATACCCTACCACAGTTACCCGAACCATCAAAGTTACTATTCTAGCTTTGAAAATCACAATAGGATTCCTCTTTCCTCTCCTTGTCATGGTTACTTGTTATGCTTTTATAATTCATACCCTCCTTCAAGCAAAAAGATCTCAAAAGCACAAATCATTAAAGATCATCATCATGATTATCATAGCTTTCCTCCTCTCCCAGTTGCCTTACAACAGCATTTTGCTGGTCAAAACCATTGACACCTACACCAGGGTCATATATGACTGCAAAACCTCTGACAACATTGACCTTGGATTCCAGATAACTCAGAGCATCGCCTTCCTTCACAGCTGCCTGAACCCCTTCCTCTATGTGTTTGCTGGGGAGAGATTCCGTAAAGCCCTCTTTAAAATTCTGGAGGATACATTTCACTGCACTGGTAAGAGCCGAGAACAGAGCTCTTTCATATATGATAGCCAAGATGGGATCTCAAATAGGTCCTCTGCATTGCTGGGACAATGATAAATCAGGGTCTCTCTCACTTTGACCTTTCACCCAAATTCCTCACTCACATCCAACTGCTCCTTTTGAAATTAATGGGAGTCTGGCCAGAGGAATGCAGTGCTCTATAAGTGATTCTTCTTCCATTCTGAAAGAAAAAGCAAGATCCCTCTCAACAGAGTGAATTTGCATGTTCACATCACAAAGGCTTAATCCTGCAAAGTGCTGAACATTTTTAACTCCCACAGAAGTCAGTGAGAATTCAGGGTGCTCAGCATCTTCCCCCAAAGCGCTCAGTACCTTGAAAGATCAAGCCCTAGACTTCTGGCTGAAAGAAAGTGAAACTTTTGAAAAGATGCAGAGGAAATAATGTGATGCTGATTCTATGCAGACTGATAATTGAGAGGGGATAAAAAATATTTTAAATTCAGAATAATTGTTCACTTCACCAGAGCTACAGCAGATTTACACCAGTATAAAAGAGAACAGAATTTGGCTCCCACAATGCTTTGCTATTCAGTCTTTGATTTGTAAGTGTACTCTCAGTGAATGCAGATTTAATTTTGTTCCACTTGCAAAGCTGTTACATTGCTAGAATAATGGAAATATCATGGTTTCCTGTTTATTTTTGTCTTTTTATCACAAACGTGGCCCTTGTGGAACTGCGTTGATTTAGATTATTTTTTCGTAGGCTTTTGATTTTAGGGTGAAACTATGTGTACGATTTGTACCATAATGCTTTGATGTTAGACACTTGCACTATATATACACATAAACAAACATTGCATCGTACAGCACAATTTTTAGAGGGTCGTGGTTGTAATTTTCTAGCAATATGGCATTTGCCTTTTACCCTCTGGTAAAGCTGGACGTAACGAACAAAGTGATACCTGAATGAACCATGGGTTATAAACTGATATATGCTGAGCATAATAAACTGGTTCATAAAGTGTATCCAGCCTGATGCCTGTAAGGCAGAGAGAAGAAAGGAGTGGATCCTAAGGTGCAGGAACAGTTTAGAGAGACTTCCTCACTCTGGTCACTGGAGATGGGCCAGTCTCACACATTATGCAATTATAATGTCCTGCGCATCTATAGCATCTGTTGCTCAGGGGTGTCAAAAGCATCTCACAGGCATGAATGAATTTAGCCTCTCAATATTCCAAGTGCATAGGGAGACTGTGGCAGAGTCAGAAACGGAATCCAGCTCAGGGTCTCCTGTCTCGCTTTTCGGTGCCATAAACACCATCCTTCTGGCTGACAAGATCTGGGCATAAGTGATGCACAGCTTTGCTGTCTGCTCTCTTCTGCTCCCTAACATGCACTAGACTGTATGTCTCTTGGTGGCCGTTTTCGTTTCGGTAAGCACTCATGGAAGGAGCTCTTTCAGTGTTATCATGACTCCAGGACGAGTGCAACAGGCACATGGGATTGAGATTCAGGACCATGTTCCCAGCTAGCCTCCATTCTGAGCAAAATTTTCACACTGACCCATCGGCATGTACAAAGCCTAAATTTTTGTGCACAAAGAAGGCAGCTAGACACACAATGACCTGCTTAGCACATATGCGGGCAAATGGACATACATACACAGGCAATTTTGAGAGTGTAGGTTTTGAGAATGCTTTGGAAAACATGCCCTAAAAAGGAAAAAACAACACTTTAGAGTAAATGGCAAGCAAAAGTCCTAAAGGGAGAGCTAAGACAGGGCTTCTGCATAGAAGATGTTGATGATAGAGCCCCATATTGAAAGAAGAAGCAACAAAACTGCTGTTTATCCAAATGATTGGCCTAACAAGGCGCTGAGCATTCCTGCAAGATTCTGGGTGCCCAAAACTATCACAAATTTCAGTGAGCATTGCAGTATTGCAAACTCCAAATGTTCAAAAATCATGAGTCCAGTTCACCAAAAATCATGAGATTGGCTTTAAAATCACAAGATTATGGAAAAATAACAGATTTGGGGTTCTTTTTACTTGCCTTCCGCTTTTGGAGCCTTTAGGATGCACTGGGGTCACATTTTGAAGCTTTCTCCACAGCCACAAGAGCTAGAAACTTACTTTTTCTTTAAAAATGAAGGCTAAAATCATGACATAATCACTTGGCTCCAGGAGCTGGGACTTTAAGGAAAACAATAATTATCATGAGACTTATGAGAAAATCATCAGAGTTGGCGCTGATTTTGCCCAGCATTGTGCAGGAGTGCTCAGCGCTTTGCTGGATGGAGCCCTAACACGAGGAGAAACAGCATGAAAAGAACATTAACAGACTGATTACTTTTACTACATGAGACAGCAAAGCATGTTATGGAAAATAAATCCTTAGATCATGACTAATTGAAGAGAAGATCTTGCACTAAAGCATATAATAAAACCAGTAATCAACACATTTTTGAACTACAGTACACAGCCCTTTCTGAGCGTTTGTATATTAAAGTTGTTCTAGACAATATAATTATTGTGGTAAACACATTCTAATCATCTGCTTGTTGGGATTTTTTGTTAACAACCACATTCATTTCAAGCATGTTTTTCTTAACTCCCCTTTGCAAACTCATCTATCTCAGGGTAGGGACAGAAATGTGCAAAGGGAAATGACCAATCTCATAGCATTGATCTTCTGCTTGCTTTTTTTTTTTTTAATTCTAGTTAAAGTTTTACTTCCCCTGCAAGCTGCCTTCTTAATCCTTAGCCCTGAACAGTAAATGAGCAAACCTTAGGCGCTGACTTGATGTCCAGGACAAATGGCCTTCTCTGACACGAGTTCCAGCTCCAGCCAGCAGCTCCTAGGACTCACCTTGTGAGCACAGTGCTGCTTTCACTGCCTTTTTAGCGCAGCTGTGAGAACCACAGTGAGTTCAGGCTTTGGCTAAAGCAGTGGAATCTTTACGTATGATAGACAGTGCACCGGCTTCCCAAACAGCAAGAAAACCACATTAGCATCTGCCAATCGAAAAATCTACACCAGCAGAGCAAACTATGTAGATAATTACCCATTAGGCATTGATTAGTTCTTTACCACTGTTCTTTACATATCCCCCAGTGTGGGAAAAAAGTGAAAGACTGCACTTCAAAATACCCCCACCTGGTTGCATGTCACTTTCAGTATTACTTTTTTGCCAGCCCTTTGAAGTCTCAAGTCTCCTTTATAGAAATAATGGCTTCTTTTCTGTGTGGTATCTGGTGAACCATGTTCCTGAGTTAATTGATACGTGAAGCGTTTTGAGTGTTCTGAAATCTAATCTGAATTTTCTCACGGTTTCTCAGATAGAAAGGTTGTGACCTGGTCATGCTACTTTGCCTATGAGTAACTTTTGGATATTTTTGTATTCTCATCGGAAGATTTTGAAGCTGTGATAGCCTAATGCACTATACAGAAATAGGACAACTAGATTCTCAGCTACGTGACTGTGATGCAGGCAGGCCAGATGTCAGCTCTTGCCCAGGCTGCTGGTATTAGCTATGAACCGAGAAACTCCTACTGGAGACCAGAGCAGTTCACTTATGTGTTAATGTTACTCAAAATAGGTAAAACTGGTATAAGAATGTAAGAGTGTTTATAGTATATTTGTAAGTTGCTGCATGCATTCATCTAATTTGTAATGGCTGTATTCCATGCTGTAAGGAAATATGCAAGTTTTGCTTTATAACGTGAAAATGTTTGCTCTGAACTTGTGAACCCAGATGGGAAGAGTGTTTCCCTCCAGCTCATCCAGAACTGTCAAAATCAGATGGGTCATCAAGGAGCATCATAATATAAAGGGCTGGTTAATGGCCGTATCGCACCTTGGAAATGCTGTGTGTACAGAAGCTTGCCTTATGGACTTGGAGGAAATACAACAAAGACACAGGAAAATTTTCCATCTCTTTGCTGTTTGAACTCTCACAGGGCAGGAGACACCAACTGAAGCCAAAGTTCCCCAGGGGCTACCCCTTCGGTCCACCCTGAAAGACACTTAACTGACAGATCTCTGTCACTCTTAGGATTTAGATTGCAACTCATCTGTGTATATGTTTGCTTGCTTTAACCTGTAAATAACTCATTTCTTTTTCCTGGTCAATAAACCTTTAGATGATTTATTACAGGACTGGCTACAGGGGTTGTCTTTGGTGTAAGCATAGGCGGTGCATGAGTCCTCTGTTTGGGGAGGCTCACATGTGAGTGCTGGAAGCCACCTAGAAGTTGGGGGGCCACCAGCACGTGGACCTTGGTCCTTTCCCCACTCCACTTCTTCCCCCCGAGACCCCGCCATCACTCCGCCTCTTCCCACCCTCATCCCTGAGGCCCCTCCACCCACTTCTTGCTCCTCTCTGGCCCCTCCCCCAGGGTCCCCCTGTCTGCTGCTTGCTCCTCTCTACCTCCTTCCTGGAACGGGGTGGGGGGACACTATGGGGCCATGACCCTATCACTTTTTCCTGCCTTAGGTGAGTGACGGGGGGGAGGGACAGAGAGGAGTGAGCGGAGGACGGGGGAGGCCTCTAGGGAACAGGGCTACGTCGGTGGGAGGGCTTCTCCTGCCAACATACCGCCTTGCAGGGAAGTGGATTAGACTCTCTTCATTAAAGCACGATGGTGGCGCAGCTGCATCAGTGCAGCATTTTAAGTATAGACTCGCCCTCAGTTGGTGAAATCTAATTTAGAGAATATACGACCAGTTTGGGGTGTCTGCCCTGTTTTTGACAGTCTGCCCTGACATCGACACTTATGGTCATAAGCCACTCCAGACAGCGTGACAGGGACTTTGCCATAATTTGGATGCAAAGGTCTAGAAAAACTTCCCTGCTTAGCACCCATCCATCACATTTTTTTTGTAAAAGTGCCCTATCTCCAAGTCTCAGTCAGCCAGAATACTCAATTGATTTCACTGGGGCTTTTGCCTGAATAAAGACAGGTAAGAACTATGAGCTAGATTCTGCTCCCAGTTACAACAAAAGAAATCTGGGGTAGTTCCACTGGATTTACACTAGGGTAACAGAACAGAACTCTGAGTAGCATTTGGTGCACTGAATTTTGTCTGATGAAACAAAATAGGAAAGAGAATAATTCAAAATATCTGTAGGCTCTGGGCTGCT